TCTAACGGTGATTCGACGATTGGCCAATACTATTTTCTTCACTTCATCAATGTTTTCGTCTGTTGTTGACGTGCTCGGGCGTCCGGCACGCTCTTCGTCGTTCACATCTTCTCGGCCCTCTGAGAACATTTTGTACCACCGATAAACGTTACTTCGGTCCAAGGTAGCTTCACCATATGCCACAGTCAACATTCGGAATGCGTCCGCGCACTTCATTTTGTTTTTCACATAAAATTTTATGCAGATTCTTTGATCCATTTTTTGGAATAGGCAAAAATCGAAGACAAGCCAAAACACATCCAAGCAAAACAGCTGTCAAAGATAAACTGAATATTCAAAATGGCCGAATTTGTAGGCATAAGTGAAGGACATGAGTACCAACATAACGCCACAAAAAAATCGAAAATCAAATATAAGTAACCCGCGGAAATTCAAAATTCGCGATACTTTTTGAACAGACCTCGTACATATATATATTCAGACCACCCGTACACATAATTTAAAAATTAAGGATCTGGTTATTTTGACAAATATTTCAGACAAAAGTTGTTGGGGATCAAGTAATACATTACATGGGCATATATAATTGAGGTGGCGTCGTGAAGGTCCGGTCAAGATCGACTTGAATTTTTTTAGTAGGTATCCATATCTTTCATTGCATATTTTTGTAGTTGACATCAAGGCGTTTTTGAAACACTACTTACAAACTGTTTTTAGTTGAAATCTTCCTGAGTTATGAGACTTCAAAATATCAATACCGTCGACGTTAACATTACCCAAAATGTACCACGTGGAGGAATCATGGTCGGATTTACACATTCGGGGTGCTTGATTAAAATAAATCCTCTTACTTCTTACGTGTGTACAAGGGTTGCTATTTATATTTCTGGCTTAATAATGAAAAAACAAATATTTATAATCGAAATTGGTTTTATTGTTTTTCAAAATATTCTCCATAATGATCAATACACTTTTGCATGCGTTTGAACTAATTTTCGAAGCACTTTTTCCACTCCGATTGAGGTAACTGCAAAACATGCGTTTTGAATGCTTCAACCGCTTCTTCGGGTGTCGAAAATCGTTGACCACGTAATTTATTTTTGATTTGCGGGAACAAAAAAGTCATTGGGTGCCAAATCAGGGCTGTACGGCGGATGACCCATCAACTCGATGTTTTGGTCGGTCAAAAATTCCTTTGTTTGACCCGATCAAAATTCCTTTGTTTGACCCGATATGTGAGAGTTCGCGTTGTCATGATGAAAAATTATTCTCCTCTTCTTCTGCTCTTCTCGAATTTCTCCGATGACTTCTGGTAAACAAATAGTCGTGTACCATTTAGAATTGACCGTCCTACGGTGCTCTAACGCCACTGTCGCCACGTGATCGGTAATGCCGAAGAAACAGGCAACCATTTGCTTCGATGTGCTTCTTCCGCGAACAACTTTTGTTGGATTTGACTCGTCTTGGAAGACCCATACAGTCGATTGCTGTTTTGTTTCGAGCTCATATACATAGATCCATGGTTCTTCACCTGGGTATATGTTATACACAGCCTTTGATTCACCTTGAACGTATTTTTTCAACATTTCCTTGTGCCAATCACGAGTCTTCTTTTGAGCGTTTGTTAGATTATGCGGGATCCAACGCGAACAAATTTTTTTTAAGGACAAATGTTCATGCAATATCTTATTGATGCTTGTCATACTAATGCCCAAAGATGCCTCAATCTCACGGTATGTCACATGACGATCTTGCTTTATCAGTTCACGCACAGCATCGATATTTTCTGGCACAACAACCGATTTTGGACGACCTTCACGGAATTCGTCCTGGAGCGAACGTCGGCCACGATTGAATTCGTTATACCAATTTTTTACAGTGCTGTAAGATGGTGCTTTCTCGTTATATAAAGAATTAAGTTCATCGATGCATTCTTGTCTTGATAATCCACGTCGAAAGTTATAAAAAATAATCGCACGAAAATGTTCACGAGTTAATTCCATTTTTTGTCCCACATGAATTTTTCAATTCACTTTAAACAACACAAGCCACGCTCAAATGACAATGTGTTCTTATGTTCTTATGTTCAACAATGTCAAGTTTCCAGTGACAACGTCAGATGGCGCCTGGCAACACTTACTGCTACCAAGGCCAGAAATATAAATAGCTACCTACGTATGAGCACAGTTAGAGATAAGGACCCGAGGTTCGTTAGTCCCCCGGTATTTTAGACTCCAAACCCTCTCTGCTGTGTGTGTATTTTCAAGTGAGGTAGTATTCAAACTGAACACCATTCTCTACGATGTAAACATCTACTCTGGTTTGGAAATAATTGTTTGCTCGAAAAATTTCATCACTACTTAAAGATTGAATTGTTTCTCTTATCCTACGAATTATATCTTCCCTTGTAGTTAAGCGTTCACGATGCACTATCCTTTACTCTTCCCTATAAATAGTAATCCAAGATAGTGATATCCTATGATCGGGGTAGAAAATTAATCTTATCAAATTTGCCTATCCATATATTAGGAAACATAATATTTAATACTGCACGGACACCTTTCGATATATGCGACGGGCATTCATCTTGTTTGAACCACATGTCCTGACGCAGTCACAAAGGAAAATTGTCTAATAATTTAGAAAGATCTGTTTTTGTCAAAGTTGAATACCTTTTAGATTATTAAGGTTTAGATTTTCTTCAAGGAAAATAGGACTGTCAATATGACTTTCAATAATTCCGCACCAAACATTTATCTTCCAAATATGTCGATGATCCATTTCTCACAACCAGTAAGGATTAACTTGCGACCAATAACGAGTTCCACTTATTGACATTTCCATCACATTTGAACGTAAATTTATCGGAAAATAAAATTTTGTTGGGAAACGTAAGTATTTGTTATTTTATCCAGTTTCAAAATGCAAGTCTACTTTGACAATTATAATTACTTACAACTTGGTGAAAAGACATTTGATAAGAGTGAAACTTGTTTTGATTTAAAACGCACCATATACCGACATGATTAATTTCAGAATCTATTTTTTGGTGACTCAAATCACGAAGGTTTAATACTGTTGATGAAAGAATTTCTGCTTCTCTTTCATTCCTAATTAAACGGCAAATCTGTCAACTTTTGTTATGTTGAGATTGAACGATACCTTTGGTTCTGATTTGGTTAGCCAAAACGTTATGTGAGTGAAGTATCCGACCAGGAAAACGTTCTCTTTACAATCTCTCAGCTGCAGCGAATTCACCTCGATACTCATATAAAATTAACAATAAATCATATGCTTCTTCATTTTAATAGGACACGGCTATGGCTATGATACGAATTAACCCGAATTACATTATTTCTAGAAGAGAAATAATAGCTCGAGATCTGATCGCGGATCGGAAAGACGACGATGTAATCGTTAAAGCGAAATACGCCAATGTATTTGCGAGACGAAGGATCGGTAGACTTCGAAGTAGCAATCGCGAGCGGAAATGTGCAGTACTTGAATAAATGTTGACGAAAATGTTCACAAAAATTATTACTTATCGCCACGATCAGTATCCAAATCTATGTGAAAAGTTTCAAATGGTCTGATGAAATACCGATTTATTAAGTTTTTGTTTCATAGACAAACCTAGAACATCTGCTGCAACCTAACTGCTAGGGGTACTTATCACACGCAAACACGTGCGCGCGCGCGCGCGCGCACACACACACACACAACACACACACACATGAAAGAAGCAAGAAGACTTGTTTTAATCAAGTATCTAGAATACAGGTTCTCAAACTTATTTCTACCACCGCTCAAGAGTGAGATTAGATTTGAGATTAAAAAACAATCTAGTGCCCCCCTATTTTTTAACTTACCTTTTTACATTATCATCTGTTGCGTTTCTTAAAAACAGTTATTGCAAATATAATTTTTAAACATGCATTATTATATGGATAGGATAGATAGGGTGTGACCCATATTCTATTTCTGAGATCAAAGAATGTTTCAATGAGAGGAAATAAAACTCATACTTAATCATATTTAGCAGTATTTTTATTAACATTAAAAGAAGGCTTTGAATTTAAAACTTATCTAATGTGAAGGATGAATCTGATGCGTTTTGACGAGTTTGTTAATATCAGGCTCAAATTCACTTGAAATCAGCCTTAAGTCGCCGCGTTCAGTAACTTGCAGCCGATTTCTCTTTTTAGTTAGCAACGTTGCTACAACACTAAATCCACGTTCACACAAATACGACGATGGGAATGCTATCAGAAATCGTTGAACAACCGACCATAACCCAGGGTACAGTTGGGAGATTCGCTTTTGCAGCCAAAATTCTTGGTAGCCATTCTTGAATTTAATTTTTAATTCTTCGTTTGTTGTTAGTTTTATAAGTTGTTCTTCTAACTGGAATGATCCTGCTGTGTTGACATTTGAAAAAGGATCCAACACCCAGTCTGGTATGTCCATATTTAAAATGTCCTGGAATCGTTCCTTAAAATCATCGTGGAGGTTCTTCAAGTGTTGACAGTAAATAAGCAAGTCATCGTTACTGAAGGATACTGCCGATAAATTGGGGAAGTTATTAAATTTATGTCTGCCGATATTCCTTCTGTACAGTAGCAGTTTGGCTACGAAAGCAGGAACGATATTTTTTGTTTTAATTAAGTTTAAGTCGTCGCCTTGAAGCTGGAGATTCACATCATTAAACAATATATACAGGTCTGTCAAGTACGCAATATCATTCTTTAATATGATGAGGTTGCCGCGCAATTCTGTATCTTTATTTTCCAGGAACTCTATCACAGAGTCAAACAGATTGTAAAATCGAGTCAGACAAGTACCTTTTGATAGCTAGCGCACTTCTGTGTGAAGCAGGAAGTAGTTGGAATCTTTATCATAGGCAGTGCAAAGCTGACTAAATAATCTGTCATTTAGTGACCTGCTTCTGATTTTATTAACTACTGTGATAACATATTGCAGTGATGTATGCAAGCGTTCACTCGGATTTCTCGCAACCAAATGCTGGCGATGAATGACGCAATGTACAGCAAGCACGCCTGGAACTTTATTTTTTAAGTACGTTATGAAGCCTTTGTAACGCCCTGTCATAGCCGGAGCGCCATCTGTAGTAGCTGACGTAATATTATTCAAAGGACTTTCCTTTACGTCACAAAACTTTTCCAGTTTATTAAATATGGTTTCTCCCTTTGCGTCTGTTTCTAAATTTCTAGAAAATAATAGTTCTTGACATATTTTCTCATCTTTGATGAACCTCACATATGACAATAACAATGCTTCATTAGTTGGTAAAGTGGACTCATCCAACTGAATTGAAAATTGACAAGTCTTAAGATGATTGCACAATGATTCTTCAATGTTTTTAGCCATCTCATCAATTCGTCTTTACACAGAACTATTGCTTAAGGGAATTTTTCGGATAATATCTGCTGCTGGTTTATGGATCACAGTAATTAATATTTCTTTTACTGCCGGTAAAATTAAATCCTCCCCTATAGTATGTAGTTTGCCGGTTTTAGCAATTAACAATGAGATATTGTACGAAGCACGAAGTCCGTCATCGTCTTGCTTAGAAGCTTCTGAAAAAAGTTTCGAGATAGTTGGCTGAACTGTGTACTTCTTTTTCAGGTCTTGAAAATAGATTACATTTTTGTCTTTCTTATTCGAGTGAACTTTATTTAAATGATTTTGTAGCCTAGATGGCTTCATCGCTTCGTTCGAAAATGTTGCTTGGCAAATAAGGCACATTGGCGATAACGGATTTGTAGGATTTTCTATAAATATGTATTTAATATAGTCCACACTGTACTGTCGTCTCTTCTTCTTTGCTTCCGACATAGTTTAGACGTGAGTAAAATATTCGCTTGAAAACCTGCTACCGATATGATGCGATACGCGCTAAATGCTAATGAAAATAAAATAAACAATCACTGCCTTTATATAAATTTGAAATGTAACACGCAGCGACAGGAACAAGATAAACTTGCAACCACTTGTTTACCTCATGTGAGTAACGGAATTCGTATAGTAGGATTTTTATTCATTGACTTAATTTTATAAAAAACTTAAAACCGCAGTACTTATAAAAAAGCCTATAAATGCCTGCCGCTTCAATACAAGCCCTCATTGTAAAATAAAAGTTCAGAAGTGCCGGCTACTCGCTAAAGATATCGTCGTAAGTTATTTGCACCAACGACTATCCATATCATTTGTTTTATTTATATTTGGAGTAAAATGACATTTGTAAAAAGGCTTACTGAAGCTCATTAGCCTATGGTAAATGGAATCGTTCGAACTAATATTAAGTTAAAAATTAATATGTAAGTTACAGATAATACATCATTACTAGTAATTCGCACCAAAATTTCACGTTATTTTAAAACACCAATTTTGTTTTTAAAACTGATTGGTGCAAATTGCATATTTTAAAAATCTTAAAAGTCGGCAAAATATTATTCCCTTCTTTAGTTCTATAAAAAAGAGGCAGTTTTTTAAAAAGGATTTAAAATTTAAATTAAGTCAGCTAATAAAAATGCTGCTATACTAAGCAAGTTAGAACAAATAAAATAATCATGTCAATTCATGCAGGGTTGTAAAAATCGCGTTGTTTAACAAAAACTTATTAGAACTTGATTGCCACAAACACAGCACGAACTGAAAGTGAATGATCCGATACAGTTTTCTATACAAACTTTGAGGAACCAATGACGGTGATAGAAAAGATATAATTCCATTATTATGTTTTACTTAATATTTCATTCCATTATTATGTTTTACTTAAAGTTTTACTTAATTTTAAAATTAACTAACAAAGTGCAAAATACCCAGTTTTGTTATAAAAAATGTTATAAAAAATGTTGAAGGAAGTAAAACAAACTATTATTATTTAATTTAGCTAGATTCTAGCTAAATTGAATAATAATAATTTATTTTACCTGTTATAGTTATAAGAAACCTTATCATAATAAACAGCGATAAGAAACCTTGTTATAAACCAACCTCTATCTGCTAGAAGCTGTTTCTTATAACAAGGTTTCTTATGGGTAACAAGATTCGACTGTATTTAATTTTAGTTTAAAATACTGAGGACTCTACGGTTTCAGTGATAGGGCGATTTAAAATCGGATTTTTATAGATAGAATTTGTCTGCCGCCGCCCCTCTAGATTGCCTTAAAGCCCCCTAATTTTCTCTGAGCCTTCTACTGCCCCCCTGAAAACTTCCAGCGCCCATAAGGAGGCGTTATTGCCCACTTTGAGAAAGACTGATCTAGAAGATGTATGTCCGACCGTGCGATCTCCACGTGGTTCATCTTGGGTAATGCCAACGCCGACAGTACTGATATTTTGAAGTCGCATAACTCAGGAAGATCTTAACTAAAAAGAGTTTGTAACTAGTGTTTCGAAACCGCCTTGATGTCAGCTACAATAATATGCAATGAAAAATATGGATTCCCACTTAAAAAATTCAAGTCGACCTTGACGGGATCTTCATGACGGCACCCAAGGTCAGTCACATGTGCCCATGTAATGTACTACTTGATCACTAACAACTTTTGTCTAAAACATTTTTTAAAATAATTTTCCATTTCCCTAGTTTTTAAATGGAGTGTGTAGGTAATCAGAAACATCCGCTGTGTATACAGGGTGTCCAAAAAGTCTGGAATAATTGAATAATTTCTCTTGAATAATTTTCCAGGTAAATTATTTTTGAAAAATGTTAAGGTCACTCTTGTAGTAACTATTGACGAGGAATTCAATGGTGACCTTGGATTTGACCTTGACGATGACCTTGAAGGTTATTTCAAAGTCAGCTCAATTTTTTTTAATGGAAACCATCTTTTTTGACGTCGGCAATCGAAAGAGCGGGAAATTTTACGTCCAAAAACATTATAAGGCCATAAATCGTGGTTGACCCTGAAGGTCATTCAAAGATTATTTAATTTTGAGGACTGGATATCTTCGAAGAACGCTTTGTTGAAAACGCATTGATGAAAATAGCTTACTTTAGTTATTTTGTTTAATTGCAATTAGTGGTGACCACAAACTCGACCTTATTGATGTCCTTCAAGGTTATTTCAAGGTCAATTTTTTTTCTAAAAACCTCCTCATTTGTCGTCGGCAATTGAAAGAGCGGAAGTTTTCATACTTTTACTTTTAGCGTTACCCAGGAACAACGGCGAGGACGTAGTAAGGACTGTTTCCTTTGGGGTGCTTGCTTAACGTGAGTCCCCTTGCCTCTCACGATGGGGTGCTTTATTATCATGAGTCCCCTTGCTTCTTACGTGCATTGATAAACATTTGGTCACTGTATTTAACGCAAATGCTCGAATTGTTCTCCGTTTACTTCTTGACAGTAACCTAATCGATGGTAGAAAGCACCAACAGCCTTTTTGATGATTTCAGTAGGAATGAGAGCTGATTCATCAACGATCCTTTGCCGTAATTCATCTAAATTTTGGGGTTTTGTTTTGTATACCCGATCTTTTAGATAACCCCAATAGAAATAAACTAGAGGCGTTAAATCGGGTGACTTAGCTGGCCACTCAATTGTGCCTCTTTGTCCTATCCATCGATTAATAAATACTGTATCTAAGTAAGCGCGAACGTCTCGTGCATAATGAGCTGCTGCGCCGTCCTATTGATACCATGTGTCATTAAAGTTGTCTCCAGCTATTTCTCTTATTGCAGGAACTATTTGATTCCGCAGCATAGCTTCATAGTTTTGGGCATTTAAGTTGCCATTAAAGAAAATGGTCTTATAATTCTATTATTTAGTATTCCAGCCCAGATATTTAATTTTTGTGGATATTGTGATTTGGCTTCTCTTGCCCAATGAGAGTTTTCATCTTCCCAATATCTACAATTATGCCTATTTAAGCTTGAGTCAAGTTGAAATGTAGCTTCATCTGAGAAGACTATATTTGATGGAAAGTTGTGATTTTGAACTATGCGTGCCATCATATTATCTAAGTGTGTCGAACCACTGTAATACCTCAATACTCTACATAACTGATTGCAAAGTTATTCTGTTTATCATTCGAATTTCATGATGAATATTGTCCTTCAGCTTAGCAAGAGTTCGCGGCTTAGTAGCAAACACTTGCTGTTTCAAATATCCCCATAAAATAAAATCTGGGGCCGTCAGATCAGGGGAACGCGACGCCCAACGAAACTCTGCATTTCTGGAAATTATTCTTTCTCTGAAAATTTATCGGGACTTCCAGTTCGTGGAAGATCCTGCACAAAACCTTTCTGTTGAAGACGCCGAATGAGAGCCAATATCACTGGTTTTGACGGAAGTTTTCTTTCGTTAAAGTGTCGCATGTATGTTCTCTTGGTAAGAATAATGGAGCGCTGATGTTTAAAGTAAAAAATTCAATAAGTTTTACACGTTTTTCTATCATCAATTTACTCATAATTTATTTTCGATTTCTGTATTTTAAAAATCTGAAACAAAAAAAATATAATAGCAAAAAAGTTATTTAATTTTTTAATGGTAAAGTGACTTATGGACCACCCTGTATATATTGGGAGTGTGAATAAGTTCTCGCCGTTTCACCATCAGATGGCGGTATTAAAATTTTCTGTGTATAATTCAAGATGATGACGCATCTATATTGAAGTTCTATAACCTATGTTTAAAATCAGTGCGTGTCTTTCCATTAACCTATAAAGAACATTTTCTTTTTGTAGCGTAAAACATATCAAATTTCGTGCCAAATAAACCGTTTTTGCGGGGAATTTTACTACACTATTTTATTCAGAAGAAATCTGCAGCTGAAGCACACAGAAATCTTGTAGAAACCTATGGTGATCATGCTCTGTCGGAAAGAACATGCAGAAATTGGTTTAACCGATTTAAAAATGGTAATTTTGATGTTCAAGATAGAGAACGCAGTGGTGCACCAAAAAAGTTTCAAAACGAAGAATTGGAAACATTACTTGCTGAAGATCCATGTCAGACGCAATCCGATGTTGCAAAATCATTAGGAGTTGATCGAACAACAGTTTCGAAACGTCTGACAGCATTAGGAATGATACAAAAGGAAGGATCTTGGGTGCCGTACGAACTGAAGCCGAGAAACGTCGAACGGCATCTTGTCACGTGTGAACAGCTGCTTCAACAACAAAAAAGGTAAGGTTTCATACATCGTATTGTGACTGGTGATGAAAAGTGGATATACTACAGTAATCCCAAGCGTAAAAAATCGTGGGTTAAGCCTGGCGAAGCAGTAGCATCAACGCCAAAGCGGAATATCAACGGTTCAAAGCTCATGCTGTGCATTTGGTGGGATCAGCTGAGGGTAGTGTATTACGAGCTGCTCCAACCCAACCAAACCATCACAGGAGATCTTTATCGACGACAATTGATGCGTTTGAGCCGAGCATTGAAAGAAAAACGGCCGCAATATGAGCAAAGACACGATAAGGTGATTTTGCTGCATGATAACGCTCGGCCGCATGTCGCGTCACCGGTCAAAACATACCTGGAAACGCTGAAATGGGAAGTCCTACCCCACCCGCCGTACTCTCTAGACATTGCGCCTTCTAATTACTAATTATTTCGATCGATGACTAACGGCTTGGCTGAGCAGCACTTCACTTCGCATGAAGAAACGAAAAAATGGATCGATTCGTGGATAGCCGCAAAAGAAGTGTCGTTTTTTCGACGTGGAATTCTAATGCTGCCAGAAAGATGGGAAAAAGTAGTCTCCAGCGATGGGCAATACTTTAATTGACTTGTTTTTTTATTTATTTTTTTTAATAAAGGATTTATTTTCACAAAAAACGGCGAGAACTTATTCACACTCCCAATATACGAGGACAGTCCGATAAGT